CGCCTCCCACAGCGAGCGCCTCGCCGAACTTCTCGCCGACGCTGCGCGGCGCGCGTCTCGTGGCACTGAAAGTTTCCCGGCGTCGCTGGCAGCCGCCCCCGCCGCTCCCAGGGCTCAGCTGCGTTCTTTCTCATCTTCGGAATTCCTCCGCGGCGGCGGGCCCTCCGCCCGCGTGCTTCAGACAACTCGCGGCGCTGCTCGACGCGGCGGCCGCGAATTTTTCATGCACTTGTGGGCCGCTTTGGGACGAACAAAGATGGCAACTTTTGCATAAAGGAAATATTGTTTCTTCCTAAAAGAAATTCTCTGAGAAATTGATTGTGTGCGCAGAAGGGACGAAGTCGTGGAATCTATCCGTGTGAAAACAACAACAACAACAACAACAACACACACTCTTGTTATACAAAGGCGGTTCTAAAAGTTTTTGGCCTGACCAAGATATCTCTCAGCAATGAAATAACCTTCTGAACAGTTTCTAGCCTTGTCTGTAATTGTTGCAATGATGTAAGTTTGCAACCGACATTTCACTAAGTTTTGTGAAGAGATATGCTTGAGTTGGATGCGATGTGTGAAATATCATGATATTTAGCGCCTCCACGACAACGCTCTTGCACTTTCTACTCTGACAGCAAACAATGTTGTCAGGGACTATGGATTTAAGCATTTGGACTATTTACACTAAAGCCCAGTATGTGCACTCAGAGACGTCTACCATGTATCAAAACTGAAGAAAAACCATGGGGGAAGAAAAGTATCTGACGAGAGATTTGCGAAAGAAACGTTTTTGACCATTTTGCAAACAAACATTCATATTTATTTTTAATTTATTTTTCGAAGATCTAGAAATGTGAATATATAGATGTGAAAAGAGGGTTTAAGTAAAGGATAATTAGTTGAAGTAACGTATTTTTTAGTTAAGTTAAAAAATTACTTGTTTTTTTTCTTTTCATCAAAAATAGAATTTAGTGAAGCCACAAAACGTATATAACCTACCACGTATGCAGTTCTAATGCCGGAAGCTACTTGAAAGTTATTTTAATTTTATTAATTCAGTTAAGGAGATAAATATTCGAAGTATATCAATATGTTAAGTTTTTCATGGGCCTCACGGGGAGACCTTCGCCTTATTCTCATTTAGAATTGTTGACAAACGTCATGCGTATTTCACTCTGCGACCAACACTTAACTTTACATCCCACGGAAACAAACCCCAAATACGCTACTCATGCGAAAATGTGAGTCGCATTAGCGTCAAGAGCTATAATATTAACAACAACAACAACAATAATAATAATAATAATAATAATAATAATAATAATAATAATAATAATAATAATAATAATAATAATAATAATGTAGACATTATGACAAATATTTCATAGCAGTACGATTCTTTAAAATAAAGCCTTTTCAAAATAAAGTCACCATAAACAAAATAATGCCATAATAACGCCATAAATGTACGACTTTAGAGCTTTAGATATATCATAGCCTACAATTTTATTTCCAAAAAAAAAAAAGGTTTTAAAATCATAATTCATATACGTCCCGATTTATTACTTGTTCATACTTTCTTCTTATACATTTCATGTCAATATTTCATCACATAATACTTTTATTTTATAGCCTACAATTTTATTTCCAAAAAAAAAGGTTTTAAAATCATAATTCATATACTTCCCGATTTATTACTTGTTCATACTTTCCTCTTATACATTTCATGTCAATATTTCATTACATAATACTTTTATTTTAATCGTCCATTAAACATAGTTTCGTTTACAATTTAATGGGTTGAAATAAACTTAATAGCTAGTGGATTATCATAGGTAATCCCACGAGTGCTTTGGAAGTTATCTGAGAATTTCCAAATTACATGTGGTATTTAATAGCACTATTCCAAGAATGAAATTACGTCTATCAGAGTTCCAAAAAGCGCCAAATATTATAATAATTTAAGGTACTTTATTCAAGTACCTTTTATCTTTCGCTGGTTATACCATGGCCATCTTCTAATGTAGCAGATAGACAAGGTTAAACCGTGCGGACGATACGTAATCAAAATCGAGATAAACAAATAATTATTCAAACAATGCCATGAAATTTATGATAATTTGCATTTAAGAGGACTGTAATGCAATTTTTGTATGAAATAATGTCGCCTGTATATAAAACGCATATAATAACGATATTTTACTCGAGTTGAAATTCCTTAAAAACATAATTGGTTTGTCAACCAACAGTTTGCCAAGGGTATTTAATTTTTTGACGATTAAAAGTGTATTTTGAAACAATGATTTAAAGTAAAGAGACGACTGAGACTGCTGGACTGGGTACTGAATTCAAGAAATACGTAAGCCATATAAAGAACCTTTGTAATGTGGTGAAAGGTAAATTGTTTTAAAATAAAGTACGGCAACATTCTTAATAAACGGGTTTCGAGACGCTCCCGCTAGTTGGAACGCATTCTATACCATTGCAGGAAAGGGCTAATTCACTATTTCATATGAAAATAAGGGGTACAGGTAGGTATTTAGTCGCCAATATCCCGTGGGATTACGGAATGAATACGTTTCCGTTTCATATCCTAAGAATGCTTGGAAGGCAGCAACAGTTTCTTGACGCAAGTACTATGTAAATTATCTCTCCGGTGTTATTGAGGAATTCTACATTTTACGACGCTATCATGCTTTCTCCTCCTCTTTCGATCTCCGTTTATCGTCCAATTTCTTTATTTCCGCTGCGTCCTTTTCTGCCTCTATTACATTTTTCTTCCTTACTCTCCATTTCCCGACTCCTTTTCCCCGTCTCTCCCTTCTAATACGGCCCCTCTCTATCTTCCTTTTCTTCCTTCTTCCTTTCATAACAATCTTTCGCCTCCTATTCCTTCCCTTACCAATCCTCTTCCTTGACTTCCTTTTCTCACTCTCCCACTCTCTCGTTTTCTCACTATCCCTTGCCCTTCACAAAATCCTCTGTTCCTTTCCTATCTTCTCCTTCTCTGGTTCCCCCTCCTTCCCCTTTCTCTGACCCTTTCTCCCAAATCACGTCCTCAACCTCTTCTCTCACACCTCGTTCCACCTATTTCCCTCCACCTCCCTTCCACATCTCTCCTTCGCCCTCCCTCCCACTTCTTTCCTTCACCCTCCCTCCCCCTTCTTCTCACTTCTTTCCCTCCCTCCCGCCTTTCTCCTCCTCACCT